GTAGCTATCTTTGTTAATCGCGGTTATACTGTTGCTGAGCTAATCAGATTGTGTATTTGGTTTGTATCATGGTTTGTTAATCACCTGTCTATTGTCAGTGTTAATTGGGGCATTGATCCCCTACATCGCATGTCTAAGGTACTATTAATACAATGTGAACTTTCTCCACCTTTTATACTACTACATTAGCCATATTTAATGACACCCTGATGACAGGAGCGCCGTGACACATAAGGAGGACATCAAAACTTTGACCTCAATCTCTGTACACAAGGAAATATGTCGAGGTTTGTGAACAAATAACATAGGACACAATTTTCTTGATTATGTCAATGTAAGGAAATATTAACTGAATACCAGATCCTTCGGCAAGTTGGCGAGGGAGTAATTTCTCAACATCAAGGTGAATGTTATCGGGATCGAGTGTGTTTTCGAAGATAATGCTTGAAAAATATGCTTGAGAGTGTTGAATAAAATGAAACAAGATTCTAAAGATGTTTATTTTATTTACGTAAACTCCCAAATTCGGAGTGGTGTGAAAGCAATAATGATATAAGTTAGGTCGGAATTCATTTTGTTCCTAATGCTACTTGGTGTTCCAAGTGAAACTGGTTCTGATTTACTATGAGAATGTATGCAACCTGTTAAAGGATTGTTTACAAAAGGATCTCAGTTGCCAAGTCCTTAGTCTGCGCACCACTGGTCACTCTGTAAAGTCAATGATGCTAATAGAATTATGATAGATTAGCTATGAGTGATTGAGTATAGTTTTACGCCGCTTTTAGCAATATTCCAGCAATATCACGGCCGGGATTCAGTGGAATAGGGAAGGCTGCACTGGTCGGACGAAAGTGACTGATGGCTGATGGCTCGTGTCTGCTGCATATAGACAACGGAATATCATGGAACAAGTACAGTTTGGCGGGGGTTCATTGATGGCGTGGGGGTGCCTCTCAAGTGACAGATAGCCAAGCCTCGAGGTTTCTGTTCAACGAAACTGCGGAGTGTTCCTTGATTACCAAAAATAGTTAATCCATCAGATTTGATATCACTGATAGTCTTTATACATATATTATGCATTATACATGCTATATTCTCTTAAGAGTAGTTGATTTTTTAACCACAAAAGTATCTTGAATGCTGAATGCTGTTGGATTATAGTTATGTGCCAAGAACATTCACTTCATCAAAGTTAGCCATGACTATGACAGTTTCACTGTATAATATATTTTAATGACTTATGTAAAAGCGTTTTCCGTATATTTTGTTCTGTGAATATTTAGGAGATAAACGTACTGTGTTTTGAAATTAGATAAATGTTAGACCGCATTGATAGTCTCTAAATTTCATTTGAAGCCGAGCTGCGCGTTCGCCTTCAAATGAAATTTAGAGACTATCAATTCAAGACTGTCAAATTGACCCTACGTCTCTGTTGTATTATGTTTTCCATGTTGCATTTATATGCATGTATATTTTCACAGAAGAAATGTTTTAGTTATAGTGTTTATGATGTAAATATCGTATTTATGCATGTATTGTAAATCAATGATATTCCATGTATAAAACACAGGTTAGTAAGTATTTACTTACTCTCACGCCTTACTTAAATTCAGTATGTTCATCATTGTCTTAGTTGCACTTACTAGATGTGCTATGACAGTAACACTTCATAAAAATATGTAAAAATGTTCCGCTATGCATATCACTCGTGGCTGTTCTGCATGTTACCCTACACAATCACAGTAATATAATAGTCATAATACATATTGATGAATACACGCACGCACTCATGCATGCACCCATGCACGCACACAAACAGACATAGTCGCGAGTGGTTGTTGTGTGGTCCGGCAGTGAATTGCTCATTCAAGCCAACATGCACAGTGTACATATGATATCTCTCGTGTCTCAGGTCTTGCTGTTGATATTTACTATTACACTATTCAATTGAATAAATGAATTTTGCACTTCACAGAACTCCCATGTGATAACAGCCGACTTGGTTGCCTCTGCAACTTGTTGATTGTATTGTCAGAGGGTGGTTGTAGCTATCTTTGTTAATCGCGGTTATACTGTTGCTGAGCTAATCAGATTGTGTATTTGGTTTGTATCATGGTTTGTTAATCACCTGTCTATTGTCAGTGTTAATTGGGGCATTGATCCCCTACATCGCATGTCTAAGGTACTATTAATACAATGTGAACTTTCTCCACCTTTTATACTACTACATTAGCAATATTTAATGACACCCTGATGACAGGAGCGCCGTGACACATAAGGAGGACATCAAAACTTTGACCTCAGTCTCTGTACACAAGGAAATATGTCGAGGTTTGTGAACAAATAACATAGGACACAATTTTCTTGATTATGTCAATGTAAGGAAATATTAACTGAATACCAGATCCTTCGGCAAGTTGGCGAGGGAGTAATTTCTCAACATCAAGGTGAATGTTATCGGGGTTGCGTGTGTTTTCGAAATAAATTGTCGAAGATAATGCTTGAAAAATATGCTTGAGAGTGTTGAATAAAATGAAACAAGATTCTAAAGATGTTTATTTTATTTACGTAAACTCCCAAATTCGGAGTGGTGTGAAAGCAATAATGATATAAGTTAGGTCGGAATTCATTTTGTTCCTAATGCTACTTGGTGTTCCAAGTGAAACTGGTTCTGATTTACTATGAGAATGTATGCAACCTGTTAAAGGATTGTTTACAAAAGGATCTCAGTTGCCAAGTCCTTAGTCTGCGCACCACTGGTCACTCTGTAAAGTCAATGATGCTAATAGAATTATGATAGATTAGCTATGAGTGATTGAGTATAGTTTTACGCCGCTTTTAGCAATATTCCAGCAATATCACGGCCGGGATTCAGTGGAATAGGGAAGGCTGCACTGGTCGGACGAAAGTGACTGATGGCTGATGGCTCGTGTCTGCTGCATATAGACAACGGAATATCATGGAACAAGTACAGTTTGGCGGGGGTTCATTGATGGCGTGGGGGTGCCTCTCAAGTGTCTGTAAGCTTGATCTTGCGATGATGAGACAAATGCTAAATGGACAATGTTACATCACTGACATCATAGACAGGTTATTGTCCATTTCAAAGACCATCCTCTGAACACAAGGCCAGTCTTTATGGACGATAATACTTGGCCACATCAAGTTTGGAACGCATACAACAATAGTAATCAACACTACAAAATGAGTCATTTACTTAGTTTCTTCTCAGAATTAGTGTATTATACTACATGTATTAGTTATTTTTGCCATTTTATTATTCCTTGAGGTTCAATCTCGCCAGATGATAACTTAAATTGAGGTTTGGATAAGTTCTTTTGTTATGTTTAATGGTAAGTATTGATACTGTGAAACATGTTGCTGGTGCGATCCTTTTTCCATTTTCCCAGGTGTATATCTAAAATCTGCAAATCAGTTTTTGTAAACTTCCATTTATATATAGGTCGAGAATCGAAGGACAGTTAAAGTTATAATTGATTACTACGACATACATTATATTGAAGAGATAATGAACATTGATTAAAAACAAATGGGGCCAGTAACAGATACGTCCACAACTGATTATGTACCCTTTGCTGGGTGTAAATAAGCATTGTTTATCATTAAATACGTTTTATAGATATAACCGGTAGTACCCCAGAACGCATCGCATTCATTCAAATCTTCAGTTTCGAGATCAAAATCCTTATTACATATTAAGGATTGATGATGTATGAATTTAAACGAACACTGTGTTATAGCAATGTTTACAGATAAACAGACTGCTAAGCTTCGAGGTTTCTATTTAACGAAACTGCGAAGTGTTCCTTGATTACCAAAAATAGTTAATCCACCAGATGTGATATCACTGATAGTCTTTATACATATATTATGCATTATACATGCTATATTCTCTTAAGAGTAGTTGATTGTTTAACCACAAAAGTATCTTGAATGCTGAATGCTTTTGGATTATAGTTATGTGCCAAGAACATTCACTTCATCAAAGTTAGCCATGACTATGACAGTTTCACTGAATAATATATTTTTATGAGTTTATGGATGACTTATGGAAAAGCGTTCTCTGTATATTTTGTTCGGAGAATGGGTGAGTGATTGGGTGTTTAATGGAGAAGAATCATCTATGCCCTCTAACACTCCAAACAGAAATGGTGGATTTTTCTGTGTTTTGGAATGCTGTATGTCATATTTGCTGTGACTAATTTTCATTTGAATTATCATTTGCTGTTCCTGGAATCAGTGCTTTCAACCACCAGACACCCGTCCTCCAACGACAAAGACTATGTGGTGCTGAAGACATATTCTACCAGTGGTCCACATCCGAGAAAAGCTATTAGTGTTACCCAGCACCAACCACGACGAAGATGCTCTTCAGGAGAGTCCCTTGAAGTGGGAACTCGGTTTGATTTAAACATATTTTGTTCACAAATATGAAAAGGATTGGGGACAAATTATCCAACTTAAAATACCGGTTTCCTGTAGGTTGAGATAGATACGAAGTCACACAACTAAACCTCTCTGCACTTAACAGAGAACATATTTTCCCGCTACCCAGAGAAGTTACTTAAGTAAAATTCAAACGTATATGGAGCTGTAAACCAAGAATTCTTTGTACCGTGAGTTTATAAAGACACGATCAGTGAGTGGAAAAACATGGTTAAAAGCCGCTTTTGCGAAGCTTTATAAGGCCATTCGTGTTTCTATATTTTTGCTTGAAATTTCAAGATACTAAGTTGAAATCAAAAAGCCCCAAAACGCACCCGTAGCCATCGCAGCAAGTTCGATTCAAGGCCGCGTGATACTTAAAGATATGAAATTGAAAATATTTCCTCAATTTGTCTCGAGTGTAGGAAGTAATAACTGAACCTTGTTACTAGCAAAACTGAACCCAAAAGGCAGATGGTGAGGAAGGTAGTTGCTTCCCACGGACCACATTGTGTCGCACTCCTCTCCATCGTGTGAGTAGCCAGCAGTCAAGCTGCGACTCAAGGTGAATATTATAGATTCTCTATACAGTGATCTATAAACTATATTTTGTATTTCGATAGAAGTCATGTATATAAGGTGATATTCTTGAATCCTGCCTGCTCCAAACGTGATTCACATGATGTCATATATATATGCATGACATCATGTGAATCACATTTGGAACAGGATTCAAGAATATCACCTTTATAACATGACTTCTATCGAATACAAAAATATCCAAATGCACTAGTGTGACGTTTAATATATATATACATATATATATATGTATATGTATATATATATATATATATATATATATATATATATATATATATATATATATATATAAAACGTCATACTAGTGCATTTGAGTGAGAAGATGCCAAGGGAGCAGAGAAACACGAACTCTCTGCTCCCATGACATCTTCTCGTTCAATACAAGATATCCAAATGCACTAATATGACGTTCTATATTTATTATATACCCTCTCATGTCATCCGTATTGCTCCCCTGTATTACTATCCTAAGTTCACATGGGTATTGTGTTGCATGACAGTGTTGTCATTAAGTGATATTTACATATCTATATACATCCATTGTGTTTCCTAAGAATATGACAAACTATAAGAAGTGTTCACATTTCCTAGGAATGACAAGTCTTTATGGATGATCAACTTCTTACAATAGCGACGTTTCGGTATAGACAATTAACAATGAAAACAAACATAATTATACATGATACAAGCCGAGGCAAGATAAAAGCATGATGAATAGGATTACCAATGAAAGCGGGGATAACTAATTGAGGGAGAAGGAGTTAATTTCATAGCATGGTAATTACGCACAGGCTATTTTTACAAGAATGTTTTTAGAAATTGACATCAAAATACGAAAATGTTATACATTATAGCAATACATATCCAATCAGTAGAACAATGTTTCGGTTGGGAAAGGGCTATAGAGAACTGAACTGAAGAGTAATTTCAAATATATTTGCCTTGAGTTAGTTTGTTTTACTTGGTAGAGGAAGAGTGGAAGATAATTTCCGAAAATCCTCCAGCAATTATTATTACCGTTTTTATAGCTACACATTTTCCAACAAATATACATGTCTCTATTTGCATCCGACCCTGTCAGAATCAAAAGCTGCAACATGCACTATCAGATCCAGGACCGTGGTTTGTAATGTTTCCTTCCGTGATCTCCCATTTCCCTCGATCCGAATCTCACACATACAAAATAGAACACTCCATAGGAACCAAAGCTCCATAAATTTGCTTCAGTCCTTGATCCAAAACTATGACCTTGATAAACTCAGATGATGTTGAAAGCAAATTAAACAGTAAAATATTGCACTACTTTCAATCTTGTTTTTCAGAAATCTTCACCGCAACAGCCATGGTTGATGCCGTGGTGATGACCCTACTGTGTGCTGCTGTAGCAGGTCAGTACACATGCATCCTCCATCATTTATTATCCATGATACAAGATCGCAATGCAGTCTGTATTTGTTTCACTGCCTGGATACATGTGATTTTCTCACAGCCTAGACTGTTGATGACTCGGTATGTGAAAGTCATAGTCTGTTTCCTTGACTGACTCAATGGATGCCATCAGGCGGTTATAGTTGTAAGATTCGCAACATGACACACGTCGTATGGAATAAGATACATACTTGGAATGCACATTGACGTTTAGAAGGTGGTCAAATGTAACACATGTTATATTTGGGATTACACTTTCTCAGTAAAATACATATTTTAGATTATATATGCTATATTTTCATAAGAGTAGTTGTTTTTTTTAACCACAAAAGTAGCTTGTAGACTAAACGCTGTTGGATTATAGTTATGAAGGCACAGTGTCATTTAGAAAGTAGTTAAATATAACATATGTTATATTTGGGTTCACACTTTCTCAGTAAAGCACAGATTCTAGTACTTCTGTTGGTATGAGTCCCCTCCGGGATTCGAACCAACACCTCAGAGTCAGGCACCTAATCGCCAGAACACAAAGTCAGCCGCCTAACCTACTGAGACACTGAGCTTCCACAGTAGAAGCTCTGACTCAACACAAGAAAAGTACTAGAATCTGTACTTTACTGAGAAAGTGTAATCCCAAATATAACAAGTGTTATACTTGCTTATTTCGACGAGAATAAGAAATGCAAACGTGTTTCGGATTTATTGTCTTACATTAATATCAGTCATTTCATTGTATGTCGTCTCTTTGTTCATAGGTTCCGCTTCCAGCAGTAGTTGCAGCAACTGTGACGGTAACAACGTGACCTGTGTTGACGGTGTGTGTCTACCCCGTTGTGTGAATGTGACGTCATCTGGAGAGTGTCTCCAGTGTCTGGACTCCAGGTTCTATGGTAAACAGTGTCAACATGACTGTTCAGACACCTGTCTCAACTTTCGTTGTCAGATGACCAACACCCGTGTTGTGTGTACAGAGGGATGTGTGGCCGGCAAGAAGGGAGATAACTGTGTTGTGTCCTACAGCCTGTACACAGTGTGAACGTTACGGTGATGGTTGTACAGGACTGTGTCAGAATCCCCAGTTTTACGGTCAGAACTGCTCAACACCTTGTCCCTCCATCTGTACAGGTGGATGTGATGGAGACACGGGGGAGTGTGCCTGTCCCCCCAACTGTAGAGACTGTGACAGGGAAACAGGAGAGTGTATACACTGTGTTGAAGGGTACTGCAAGGGTGGATGTGACGAGCAGGGAGATAACTGTAACAGTACATCTTGTAAAACAACATGCCGAGCAAACTGTATAATAAATGACTTCACACAAAACCAGTGCAATGGACCTTGTATCAACGCCAACTACTATGGAAAGATATGCACCATTCCGTGTCCAGACAACTGTGACAAATGTGAGAAAGACTCTGCCCGATGCCTCAACTGTGCACCGGGTGTGAGAGGGGAACTGTGTAACGAGTCGTGCCCATCTAACTGTAAACTGTGCGGTCGCTATGACAACAAATGCATGGGCCTCTGTCACGACAGTAACTACCACGGAGTGAACTGCTCCGATCCATGTCCCGTCGGCTGCGAAGGGTGTGAGAAGGACACTGGACTGTGTATCGGTTGTGCCCGGAGCTTCAGTAGGACATACTGTGATGATATGTGCTCTCCGTGTTCACAGGACACGTGCCACAGAGAACCTTGTCAGAAACGTATGTAACATAATTCTCTCATGTATTCCTTTATACCCAGGGTTTTACCTTGACCAACAAAATTAGGAGACCATAGGGGACAACAACAACAACAACAACCCCCACACACACACACACACTTATTAAATTCAAGTTACCGTACATGAAATACGAGTCGTGTGAAGTGATGAAATGATGTAGCAGACTGTACTCTAAGGTTTAATGATTACTTTCATTACAAAAACTTTCTTGTCACGAATTTTGAACATTGAATATTATTATGTGTTCCAGGGGACACATTATATGTATTTTTTCTGCGTCCATTGTATACGTCTGTGCATATTGGACGCACATTTCTGCGTCACGTCAAATCCTGTTAATGCCTATTGTAACATCACTCTGGTATACGTAGATGTTTAGCACGTTTCCAAAATGAAAGCGAAGCTTCATATTATTGCCTCTTTGAATAATATTTAAATGTTTCATGGAAAGCCAGATGTAATACAGCGCTGTTTGTTGGTATCAAACAAAGGGGTGTTTCGAAACACATGTCGCGCCTTGGAGAAAGTACTCCACATAGCGTCTTCACCCTCTGGGCACCACTGTCGTTTGTCAGAATACTTACATTTTAACTATATTTAGTGAAATATATAATCAAAGGACATGTTTATACTTATAAAGGATGTAGTTTATATTATGTGCTCTGTAATGTTTGGTGTATCAAGCAAACTAAAACTAACAATTTTTTAGATAAAGTTGCTATTTGGATCATTTTCTTTGACGTAATTTGAGATAAAACACATGTGATAGAAAACAGGCAGAATTTTTTTCCATAATCATACTAGATATTGCTCATAGCAAATATCCCTTGTATTATTCAAACTATGTGATAAGTATGTGTTATGAATCACTTTATATAAGTGATGGTACACGTAGTAAGTGTTCGTGAAAAGATGAGAATATCCTGCTCGTCCCGTATTACCTCTCCCAAGCATATGTAACTGCAACTCAGTGTTCAGTGAGTGAGTTCAGTTTTATGCCGCACTGAGCAATATTCCAACTATATGGCGGCGGTCTGTAAATAATCAAGTCTGGACCAGACAATCCAGTGATCAACAACATGAGCATCGATCTGCGCAATTGGGAACCGATTACATGTGTCAACCAAGTCAGCGAGCCTGACCACCCGATCCCGTTAGTTGCCTCTTACGACAAGCATGGGTTACTGAAGGTTAATTCTAACCCGGACCTTCATGAGTCGTGTTTCACTTGAAAGAACAGGAACATAAGGTACAACGGAAAACAATACACACGACGTTCCTATGAATTTCCAGTGAGTGAGTTTAGGTTTACGCCGAACTCAGCACTATTACAGCTACATGGTGGTGGTCAGTACATAATCGAGTCTTGACCAGACAAGATTGTGATGAACAGCATGAGCATCGATCTACGCAACTGGGATACGATGACATGTGTCAACAAGGTCAGCGAACCTGAACACCCGATCCCGTTAGTCGCCTCTTACGATAAACATGGGTTGAGCGGAAAAAAGACGGCCATTTTGTTTTTATGACGGTCATCACACAAATGTGTGACCTTTTTGTGACCTTATCGATTTTGACAGTGAGTTTGAACCCTTAAGCCCAACAGCCCCCTTTTTGGATGACTCCCCTTCCGGCCCAGGTGTGTATGACCTTTAGGTTGACTTCATACAGAACAGCCCCTTAAAATACAACCCCATACACAAGAAGCTTACACCAGTATTTAATCATATTATACAGCCTGTGGAATAAGAGCAGGTAACGACGTCAGTAACCTACGTGTAACATGATGTAAAATAAGCGTATTGTCATATAGTATTCATGGGAATGGAAATAAAATGGTTTTTGATGTTAATTTAACAGTTTGCAATTAAAGTTCAACTTTAAAATTTTGAGTAAAGACATCCGAAAGTTTTACAGCAGAGCAAATATAAGTTTGTTTTCTTATTCAGTAATACAATTACACCATATATTACAAATGCCAAACCATTTCATCATTGTCCAAACATTTGACTCTTAATCCATCCTACTTGAGTTATTCAGTATAGTGAACACCAGTCCTCAACTGCTTACTATTTCCCGTATTTAATTCCGGTCACACACTTAATGACGGAAGCTGACACCTAAGTATACATACAATCAATCTAGGCTGTGCGCCATTCACGTTAAAAATGATCCAGGCTATCAACAGACATACCATGTACACATGGCTACAGTCTGGCCTGAAAACTACAACAAAACGAAATTTCTGGCCAACTTGTCCGGCTATCTTTCTGGGCACAGGAAGCTGAACACATCAACCCAAGTTCCGCTCACCAAATGTCACCTACTTGAACATATCTGTACACACGTAAGTATAAGTCATGGTGATAAAAATGACAGCATTAAATACTTAAAAATTGTGGTCAGTTTTAATGACTGAATGGATGAGATTTTAAAAAACATAAACATCTTACACTATATCATCCAATCACAGCTGTCACATGTCACTGTCTCTTCAGTTATGGCTTGGCTCAGCGAGCAAGTGATTCTGCTTTAGTGTAGTGATGACAGCGTAATCTATTTTAAACTGCCTATTGATACCTGCAAAGGTTTGATTTAAGAAACTGCGTTCTGATATTTCGAACAAAGACTGCTTTTGACCTACTAAATAGCATCTTTAGCATCTAAATTCACCTAATATTCATATTGTAATATTCATTCTATGTTGATATGAAAAAGATATGACGTTTGCTGTGTGAACCCAACACTCGAGTCGGCAAATGAAACTCATACCACTCTTATTCATAAAATAATTGAATAATAATCACAGACCACTAAGGTCAACCTAAAGGTCACACACACCTGGGCCGGTAGGGGAGTCATCCAAAAGGGAGTGGGGTGGGGCTGAAGGGTTCAAAATCGATTAGGTCACAAAAAGGTCACACACTTGTGTGATGACGTCATAAAACAAAATGGTCGTTTTTTTTCTGCTCAACCCCCAACCTCTACAACAGTCATTGTTATTTGAAGAAAATAGCTCTTGGCGTCATCTTATCGGTTTTTAGTGTTTTAGTCATAAAGTCACTCGTATTTATGGACTTTTTAGAGAATACCTTTCTGACCTAGAAAGGATTCTAAGAACAGTCCCTCTGTCCCACATATATATTTTGCATTTGAACACAATTATTCTAACACACTGAAATTAGGAAATGTGCGGAGTTCAAAATCAAAGGACCTAAATTTCAGTGCAATGCATGGTAACTACTTGGCTAAGAAGGAATCGCATTTTTGATAATAAAAGTGACGAAATTTGATTGTACGATTCCGACTATATCTTAAACTTGTGTTCATAAATTACCATACGAAAGTGATCCATACCATACCATACCAGGTAATCGGTTAAATGTGAGAGTATCCTGCCCCACCAGTGGCACCCTTTACAAACACATGCAAAGGCATAAAATACAAAAAACAATACACGGGAAAAGTAAACAAAAGAAAGAAAAGATGTGGAATTACACATTGTCTCTGAGTTTGTCTCTGAGGTGTCAAAGTTGGAAAGATCTTTCACATGTCGATGATAAAACTACATATCCGTTACAGGACCATTGCGGCAAGTTTCCCTCACTGAACCGTAAGGTGTACTTTTCACACGTCAAAATGATTTCCCAAAATATCCCTTTTATTTTAGGTTCACCTGAACACACTTTGGTTATTTCTTTTGGGGCATTAGCAGGACTCCTATGCTCCTACGCAAGTCAAAATGATTTACCAAATTAACCTTTTTTTATTTCAGGTTCACCTGAACACACTTTGGTTATTTCTTTTGGGGCATTAGCAGGACTCCTATGCTCCTATGCAAGTCAAAATGATTTACCAAATTAACCCTTTTTATTTCAGGTTCACCTGAACACACTTTGGTTATTTCTTTTGGGGCATTAGCAGGGCTCCTATGCTGCACTGTTCTAGCCATGATCATCATATTTCGGATATATGTGAAGAGGAGGTAAATGCTAGTACTTCTTTACTCTTAAAATGATTTTGAGAAAATGTAAGTTCAAACTGACTTAATACTTTAATGGGATCTATTTTTAGAGTCCCAGTCCCTTATTACATTAGCTGTGACAGGTAAAGAACGAATTACAACTTAGATAAATACCTGGAGCTGGTTGTCGTCTTGATGCTTACATTTAGATTG